TTTGGTGGTGAAGTAGTAATGATTATCGTTTTCAAGTTAAATCTTCAGTATGTATATCGTTGATGAAGTGGTGTTGGTAGGAATCTGAGGCGGTGAATGAATGACTGCACTCATTAAGTAATCATCTGAAACATGCAGGTAGATGCTTTTGTTAATACATGAATAGAGTGGCGATAAGTGTTGCCAAGTAGTAGTAGTTGTTGTTGACTGGGTATGTTATCAGCTATATATGTGGGTTTGCAGTGGATATAGTGGATAAGTAGGGACTGACTGGGGATGTGGATATGTGGCTACTATTAGGAGTATCCGTCTACAGTATGCGTCGGAGATACCAACATTATGATAGTGTCAACTTGGTGTCAGGATACTACACAACCAGCACATCATGAATATATACTTATATATAAAGTTGACACCGTGGTATCGCCACACATCCATTGGAGGAGAACCTCCCAATACCCTACTACAATCTAAACACCTTTTTAATACTACACGAAATAATATATAGTGATTACTATCTCTTTGTCAGAGTAGTACACCCCCGTCGCATTCTCACCCACTAGATACTTTATCGGATGTCGGAATACGATAGTCCGAGATCAATATGAATATCCAGTTTACAGTAGTAATCATATCATTGCCACACAGACACAATCTAGGAATAGAAACATGATAACAAAGCGAGCAAGACTATACTCCGTGCCCCCCTCGGACTGACTCGGAGATACCTCCTATTATAAGTAGTAGTTCCCACTGTATAACAAAGCCACTTATAGTGTGCACAAACCGGGGCTTCAATCACTGCAGTGCAGTGCACTTCAGGGGAACCGAACCCCGACCGGCGGATGAACCCCGTTAGTTATCACCTCTCTCTCTTCCCCTAACATGTGAATCTGTCTTTTCATCTACCTCATGCCTAGGTTGTTTGTATCTGTGTACACCATCGGCCACCTCCGCACCTAAGTATGTATACAGCCCTCTACTAAGATCTAAACCACGTCACGGGAGCAATGCAACATACCTACTATAATAAATCCAAGTATATGTAAATAAACGAACGGAGTACCACCCCCTCTCCCCATAAGGCCAAGCCAAGCCAATCCAATCCGTACCATAGATACCACCATGCTAGTTATGCTAGCTAGCTAGATCAAGCTTCCTGCAGCACTGGCTCGGGCTTTTCGCCATGGCGCTCGGATGATTAGGCGAGCTAGTCTAGACATGGGGACAGACTAGTTAGTTCGTTGGCTAGGGTAGGGTAGTGGCGAATCGCTTACTTGCTTGCTTGTCTGCTCGGGATCCGGGGTTTGATTGTAATGTGAGTAGATTACTTATGTGAGGGAAAAAGAGGAAAGAAAAAGAGAAGTGGAGCGGAGCGGACGGAGCATTGGCTGACATGCATGGATAGTGTGTATGTATGTATGTATGTGACTAGTTGGGTAAGTGGTGTGTCGGTAAGATAACCGGGAGATGGTAGTGGTAGTTAGTGATGATGGGGTGGGAGGGTGAATAGGGGGGATTTTTAGTGAGTTGAATGGATGTACTAAGGAAGAGGGATTGATCACCTGGTAGGTAGGTAGGTGGTTTATCGCGCATTGACTGACTGACTGACTGAATGACTGACTGAAGCCTTGCATGAGGGAACTCACTGACTGACCATGCGATGGTGCTTGCTTGCTTACTTGAAGTGTGTATGAGTGTATGAGTGTATGGTACTAAGATGGATAAGGAGTAAGCTCCTGAAGGATGCGAGGCTAGCTAGCTAGCCTTCTTTGCATCAAACTAGCTCATTCACTCACTTCCCCATCATCAGTGGGTAAGTATGATTATCCCCAGGCGAGTCATTCCCATCAGAGGGCATGTCCGACTCTGAGGTAACTGACTAATGACCACCTACAAAGAACTTGCTATTCTTCTAGACCGCAACTTCACTCTTCACATCAAACCTGTATGAACAAAGTACAGTACTCGACAATGAGCGATTAAAAAATATACTTTTACTTAATTTACTTGAACTGACCCGTCAGGAAAGATACAAACAAATAAACAACTCCCTTAGGCTACTAGCGACGTTGCATCCCGCCGGATGGCGTAAGGTTCATAAACTGAATCCGCTTCAAGCTTTCCGGACGGAGTCTGAGCTCGAGCCTCGTCTCTTCTTTGCTCTCCTTTCTTTGGAGTTTATGTTGTGGTGCCGTTCCGGATAGATATGGAAGAATCTTGTTTTTTGGTGGTGGCTTAATGACTTGATTTCTCAGGTAGAGTGGTTGTAGTATGAACTAAAAGGTTGTAATCATTAAGCATATCCCGCAGATCCCGAATCCAGTTGAATACGTGTTGGCGTTTGAGGCTTAAGGCCGACTGTCTTAAAACTTTGATAGATAGAGTTGTGGTGGAATTGAACACAGCAAGGCTTGCCCTGTCATTTACCGTTGCCGCCGCTAGTCAGTCACCCATGGCTCCCCTTTATTCGGGAACATATCTAGAATTGTGTATTCGATTTGGTGTATAAACTTAGTTGGTACTTATGTCTGATTCTTTTAACACTACGCTATAAAAACTTCCATAAATTGAGTTCGCCACTCCACAAGCTGAGTGGTTAATGTGTCAGCCCGCAACATCTGATACACTCCATGTGTAACCTGCAAACTGTGATATCTCTCCTATCCTCCTCCCCCGTATTTTAAGTTCGGTTGATGATTCACCTCGTCTGTGACAATCCACCTATCAGCAGCGACACACCTACGCAGCCAAGCCTGATGTGTAGGTAAATCATGTTCGCTGGTTTAGCGCGAATAAGTACCTCTCTTGGCCCCCTTCCCCCCAGCCGGAACGAAAAGTATAAAACTAGGTTGACAGCAAGGTTAGCAGACGGGCGCAAGGAACACCGTGACAAGAGCGATAGCTATGAGCCTATCACATGTTGTCAATCCCGGTCGGGTTGACGACGCCATCTCACTTAGTACTTCGTAGATATTATCAAAGTAAACTGAGTCTGTCATGGTTGGAAAGGTATCAACAGCAGCACGTAATCTACTCTAGTCATTGTCGCGGCGGTAAGTACGGTGTGGAATCTGCCGGCTGCTGCTATCTCCTATCTATCTCCTAGCTTGCAGACGGATAACGTCCGAGCAGACCCTTTTCGAGGCCAATGCACACTAGCAGCTCTCCTGAGCGGCTAGGGAGACCACCGGTTGGTTTAGTGGGTATCTAGTCAGAGTCATTGCTAGTTCAATACGTTTAGTCGGCAGTTAGTCTTCCTGGCTATAATCTCGCAGGCTCTATGCTGCGATGGCGACTGAATGAAGGGGGCAAAAAGACTGGTCATAAAGATGTGCTTGATCGACGATGCACAGATCACATTGGCTACAAGTTGACCCATCGAACCCCCCTGTCTATGTAGGTCGCACCAAGTTGCACAGGAGTAGCTTCCGGGCAGGGTTGTTTGCCCGGACCGGGGGGTTTGAATTTTTTGTTCGTAATGGCAAGGAGAGACCCCCTTGCGAGACACTGCCGAGAGGGTACAGCATGGCGTGGCATGGCATGGCGTAGCATGCGTACGGAGGATAAAATGGGATGACTGGCTGGATATGGTGTCGAGAGGGAGGGATGGATGTAAGACAGTTTGCTTGGTGATTATTAATGCGTCTGTCACCGTGGCCGCCACCGCCCTCGATCTCCCGACCCCTAAACCCCCCGCCAATACCGACAGGCTGGTGCTGGCCGCGCCTCCCGTCGGGAAAGGCTAGAGATGGTGGACCGTTAGGTTCCAGGGAGAAGAGGCCAAGCTTGTGATTTCCGGCGCCTCTTTGTTTGCGCGGTCTGGTCACGCACTACCCAGGACATGGGGGGATGAGGAGGAGAAGGAGGAGGTGAACCCAGGTACTACCCAAGGAGGCAGTAGCCTCCTCCTCCAGTAGGTAAGTACCTTGGACGGGGGGCCCTTATTTAGCGGTAATCTTAGGCCGGGGAGAGGTTCGTTGATAGGTAGGTCTGGTCAATCCACGGATCCTTCTCGTCTGGCAACCTTCCGAGGGAACCAATGACTGCGGTGGTTGGCATCTAGTCCACGGGGCTTGCATATGCGTTTCTTCAGCGGATTGATTTGAAACCCAACTGTTGACACCATCGCGGATGGCGGTGATTAAGGTTGACCTGGTTGACGAAGCCATGCTGAAGCCATCCGAGGCTATCCATACGTGAAGTACATGACAAGCAGATACAGAGGGGTGTTTCCATACCAAAACACCAATACCAAGTATACAGATAAGCTCAGCATCTAGAAGGCGTAGTTCATTGTTCAAGTCCTCTGAAAACCTCAGAAGAACAGAACAGCGTAAGTGACCGAGGGAGTGTAGGTGTACAGCTTGCGCGTGTCAAGCAAGACTGGCACCTGAATGGCCGGCTATCTTGTCCCAAGATGCAGGCCGACCAGCCAGGCAAGTCAGGTGGGGCATCACGGAGGGAAGAGTCAACGCTAACGCCCGGATGGGGATAGTGGGCCACACCCGAAGCCCGAGCCAGCCAGTGCAGACTCTCTTCCAAGGCGCTAGTACCGGGCGTATCGACGTTGTACCACTTGGGTCAACACAAACAGAGCAGGTAAAATATTCATACCGACCGTGTGTATGGGAGTAATCACCCAGACTAAGACCAGGCAGTAAGTAGTTAGTTAGATGCTGGTTACGGAGTAGTCTACTGAAAACTACTACTGAGTACCGAGTAAGTATACTGCCAGACACGGACCTATCCACCAATCAGTAGCGCTGGTCCAAGATTTGGGAAACTTTGGTCAGGCCAGTCCTTGCCTATCGCTTGGTTCTTCCTTCCCCGGGGGAATGAATGAATGAGTACAGCACGGTAGGGTGGATGGCCCGCAGGACTGACTGACAAGTGCCAACAACCCTATCGTGGTCAGTCCAATATGCGCTCGTATTGGAAGTTGGGGGGGATCCTCGGAGGAATGGGACAGAATGATTGGAATCTCATCCTCCAGCGATTCAAACGATCGGGGGGGCTGCTCCCCCGTCAGAGCCAGGGTCCCAGGAGAAAGAACAGGTGACCTTGGCCGTGGAATGGAAGAAGCGGACCAGGGACCGTTTGCCTTTGACGGAGAATGGGTTTTTCTGCGCAAGTGCATTGGGATGAGGGCCGGGACGCAAGTGTCCGTGCGAGAAGAGCAGGGCCCAGGCCAGAGCAGTCGATGGCCGACGGATACGAGGTACCAGAAAAACAAAAAAACCGTCAACCGTGGATCGAAAACCACCTTTCCCTTTGGGTCCCGATATTGTTTCATCCAAATCTGGGAGCATTTCAATTAGTGATATCTTTATCTTGTATCAGCAAGTCATTGGATACTGTACCATACTGGGACATCTTCCCCCCCAGGACGTAGAATGTTCCATTGGTGGATCTCCCCGTCGAGCTATACCCAAGTAATTCTCCGTACATCGGCCGGTCGCGGGCTGTCTCTGCTAAGAATAATCTATCTTCTCCCCCAGCTGCCAGTGTAGCTGTGCCCTGCCAGCTAATTATTGCCGATAATGTTTCTAATAATTATGACTTCCAAGAATTATGATGCTTACCAGCATTGAGGGACCGCCATGGCTTTCTTCCTGCTTCCCCCCCCAATCCTCTCGCCCCGACCCGATCAGCCTCAGCTGTGTCCTCCACCGCCCGGCATCTGTCATGCATTCCTCGACGCAAGGAGCAACGATCGCTTGCCTGCCCCTTTTCGGGTTCCCCCGTGCTTTGCTTTTTCGCTTCTTTTTTTTTTTTTTTGTTCGTTTGGTATTTTGAATTTTAATTCTTGGTCTGGTGTTGATTGCTGCCGGTCCACGTCGATTGGCCATGGCGTGTCCTCCGTAAATGGCCTGTTCGCTGGCCCTCTTTTGCTCCTGCTTCCTGTTCGGCCCCTCTTCTCCCCTGGTGCCCTGGGAGATTGAACCCTGGGTGGACGCGTCTCTATCCGTGCCATTATTCTGATCGTTGTTAATTCTCCCGACCATCCACCGTCGATCTGGAGAAACCATCCCCCTCCTTTTCCCTCCTTCCCCTCGTCTGTGATCGCTACCCCCGACGCAGAGGGCTAAGCTTATTCTAAACTCCACCAAATAGGGCAACAGCGGCCAGCATTCCCTGCTGGGTCGGGGTGGCCGATCGACCAGACGGGACGGCGCTCCACATGCCTATCTATATACATACATACAGCCAACCTAGTTTTTACGATCCCAAGATCCGTATGGAGTAATGGGAGAGGGGAAATAAGATAATTAAAAATCAAAGGAAGGGAGGGGAGGATGTGGAGAAGGGAAAGAACAGAAGTACGGTGTAAAGTACAGTGACTTTGTTTTGTTTCCTGAGAAGCTGCCAAAGGGGGCAATCAGCAAAATCCCAGTAGAAAGGCAGATTGAGATTGGATAAACAATACGGCGGAGCAGACTAGACCCAAAAGAGATCCTGGGAGGGCTAACCGGTTTTCTGGCACCATTGATTCTGGCCCTTTTAGGGTCAAGTCCATCTGCAGAAGAGGGTCTGGACGATTCTATTTGCCGGGCGAGACGACAAGAATCGTGTCCATATCTCGTCTCATCTGGCGGATATTGAGGGGGAAATGGGAAATGACTGGAATGATTGTGAGTTCCCTGCTCATCAGGAGCAGATTATTGATTATCCATCTACCCCCGTAATAAGAGTTTCTATTATCAGCTATCTATCTCTGCACCGTTCAGTGGAGGACTTGGTGGCCGACTAACCGAGTCGCCCCCCTCGACCGTGGGAAGCGCCAAAGGTGGAACGGAACAGCTTGGGCGCCTGGACGAGCCCTGTCAACCACGTTGCCGTTGATCAGGCGTCGAGGGATTGGGGATTCTGGGACTGGTTCAGTGTGTTTTAGCGAGCCGTCGTCGTTTGGTTCGGCTTAGCTTAGGAAATGCTAGGCTAGGCTTAAGTGGTCGATAGTCAGTAGCGCTGGGGGTGGTTGGACCGGGAGAATGGCTCCATCCGGGTGTGGTTCAGGGTGAGCGAGGGAGAGACAGACAGAGACAAGAGACTTGACTGAGTGACTGGTAAGGTTCAGTCAGGTAGGAAAGTTTGTTGCCAATGGTTCCTTTCAATAATACCGGCGGAACGTCCTGGGCCTGTCCGGGCGCGGCTGGGCTTGTCTCTCTTAGGGTGTGTGTTCTCTCCTAAATGCTGATTTTCTTTTCTCTTCTTTTCTACTTTTTCTGATTCACCTCATGGAGAGGGGTTTTGCTTTTTGCCTGAATGGACTCACTCCATTACGGTTACATGGAAGGTAGCGAAAATAAATAATTTGTTACTAATTTAAAAAGCATTAAGCAAAAACAAGACAGAGAGTTGTGTTTAAAAATAAGTATACTAAATAAATTTTGAGAAAAGAAAAGTGAGCAACAGGCAAGCATTCATTCATCCATTCATTCATTACTGCTGAAATTTTGGTTGGGTCTTGGCCCCGATTGGGAATCCTCCACTCAATGCGGTCGGACCAGACTAGCTGCTTTGGATGCTGCTTTTTGAAGTCTGCTGATTGAGAAGATTATTATTCTTTTTTTTTCGGTCTTATTTTGTTTTTCTATTTCTTTTTTAATTGACTGCTGATGGAATGAATAATATTAAGATTAATAAAAATTTAATACGACGAATGAAGACTCGACTGGGATAGTCCTGCGTGAGTACGGGATGAATGTCGTGCTTTGTATCTCACCATCTCTCCCTATTTACTCTTTTCTCTCTCTGTGTCAGTCTGACCCTCCTGCTTGGTATCTTCAGTAGTGGTAAAGACTGGCAGATAAGTAAATTCAAACCATGTCCCAAAGAGTGAACAAATAAATAGAAATAAAAATAAAAGCAAAAAAATAAAAGAAAAAAAAATAAAAATAAAAACTGCGTGTGAAGGAGAGGGAGTTAGTCATTATCGGACCGTCAGGGTGGGTATGTTCTCCCTGGTATTTTTTCCCGGCGTGAACTCAACCCCCGCGCTGGCCAGACCCGGCGCTGGACTGGTCTGGATACGTCTCCATTCCCGGCTTGTTTGGTCCTCCCCATTTTCGCCCATCAGCAAATAATCCATATTATTATTCATATTCACTCTCCATCCCGAGTCTCTTTCTTGCTGTTTCTTTCTCGTTTCCCACGAACAATAAAAGATCTCCCTCCCTGAACTTACCCCCCTCAGTTGCTTGTCTTTTCACGACTTCTCTTTTTCTCTTCTCTTCTCTTCTCCTCTCCTCTCCCTCCCTGCCGTGCAAGCTTATCCAACTAGCATCTTCCCTCCTCCCATCAGCGCCACCCACGACTTGTCCGATCTTCACCACTAATTAATTCCCACTCTTTCAGCTCCCACCAAACCGTCCATCCACCACCACCACCACTACTACCACCACCACCACAAACTCCCGACTCCGACTCCGCCCGCCAATCTTCTCCTTCCCGCCCTCCCAAATCTTGCTCTACGCGCGCCGGATCCTACCATCCCCGCTGCCACTCAACTCCCGTCCATGGTACTCTAAACTGTCATTCCGCCTGATCTTCATCCGCGCATCCACATCAACACCTTAACACATAACTATTTCTATCTTCTCTCGTGCGCATCGCGTGAGGGCGCGTTGGCCTGTCTGGAGGAAAAAAACAAGATCATGCCGTTGTCTTGACTAGTTTCTCATCGCAATACACCTATTCTACCATCCTACGACCTACCTCGTCGATCTCTCTCCATTGCCGTGTTCGCGCTTGATTCTTCTGTCGCATCAGCACCCTCGCCTCATCGGAAAGGATATGACTTCCGGATAAAACAGTGGGGTCAATCCAACCTGACGTGAAATCTTCTTCATCGATCGTGAAACAACCGACACAGGTGGTACCCGTCGAGCATCATACCCACGGTCGATCTCCCAGGACCACCCCCGTTGCAGACTCAGATCGCTGATCGCGATCCGATCGCCCCTCCTGGATCCTCCAGACATTGCCGGTGGCCTGTCTGGCAGTCGATACTGGACCCTTGCATCTGACTCGGTCGCCTTCCCAGGACATCTGTCCAGCACCTTGGCCGGCCCCTCTTCCGTGGTAGTGGGTGATTTATTTCCTTCCTCTAGCTACTCACGCGAGACATCCGCCAACCTGGCTGCCCTCGCGATCCCCCCTCCAGGCATGGGGACGGCGCTCGATGCGCTGACTACCCACCAGCCGTTGAACTCGCGTCGTCCTGCAGCCCCGACGCTGCCCAGCTTTGAGCTTCCTGCACCCAACTTTCAGACCAGCGTCAAGTACGCACATCACAATCCTCCGCCTATTAACCCCAGCGTCAGCAACCTCCTCACTCCTCCAGCGACCACGCAGTCGGGTGAAACTCTCCCGGCTACGACCTCGCACACAGCCACCACCACGGCACCCACAAATCCGGAGTTGGCTCCGTACTGGCAAAGCCAGAGCGCATATCAGAGTGGGTCAGGGGCAGCAGCTGCCCGTCAGTCGTGGAACTCGAGTGTGGTGTATCCGAGTCGAGACACCTTCTCCCCGTCGGTGAATTCCCTAAATCGCAATCCTGCCACGTCGACTCCAGGCACCGAGCACATCGCCCAGTCATACGAGATGAATCACTTGCCTCCGTTTCACCAATCTGCCTCCGTCTCCGCTGCTGCACCAGTTCAGGCGGGTGCTCCTCAGCAGCACCACGCAATGACACACGCGATGTTGTCAGCACACAACCCGTTGCCCAACCCAACACCGTCGCCGCATCCCCTTCCATCGAACGACCCCTACATGGTCAAATCATCGTCTGCCCCAGCCTATGGGACCATCCAGCAGCTGTCGAGCCCACCGGGTGGCTATTCGCCGTACGGACAACAGGGCATCGTGCCCAACCGGGTGGCATCAAATCCGCACCCCTCGCACCATCTGAACTATCAACGACAGCCATGGCCGTCATATTCGCTTCCGGCGATGAACGGACCCATCTGGACGAATGTGCACAATCCGAACGGGCAGATGTCACTCACCGGGAACTTGCAGTCCGGGGTGCTGCCTGGGTTGCCTGGGTACAACAGTGGGCACGTGGCCAATATGCAGCAGATGCAGCAGTTGTATGGGGGTCACCCACCCCATCCGGGTCACGGCGCTCCAGGACCCACCAACGATCGACCGTTCAAGTGTGACCAGTGTCCACAAAGCTTCAACCGCAACCACGACTTGAAGCGACATAAGCGTATTCACCTCTCGGTGAAGCCGTTCCCGTGCACCCACTGCGACAAGAGTTTTTCACGCAAGGATGCGCTCAAGGTGAGATCATCCCTTCTCTAGTTTCTCGGTATAGTCTAACAGTGTACAGCGACACATTCTTGTGAAAGGCTGCGGCAAAG